TGATAACCAACCACTGATACATCTCAGCCGGGCTAAGGTGCAGAACAGTCGTTTAATGCATTGGGTTGTCTACTTAAAATCTCTTCGATACCGGATCTTAGCAATAAGGAGGTCAATAACATAGGTGGTGAATCGGAGCACATTTTCAGAATTACAATTAGGTTAAATACCTCTTGTTTAACAGACATTTGTGTATGATATTAACAAAAAATGCATGTTTTGTCTTCAGGTGGGAAGACGTGTCACAAAGTGTCTGTATATTCGTGTGATTTAATGTTAATTTGATGTGTCTGCACTTGTTTAACTCCACACAATGCGGTTTAGCTAGGGAGTCTCGAATATATTTTCCATTACGGCGGTCGAGTGCAGGGTAAACTGAGGGACAGTCAATAAAATGCAACTCTGAATAACACTTTTTCACTCATTGACAAATATTATATTATCTGATAATTTCCTTGTGGATTGCTCGTGTCTTCACCGATGGAATTCGCGACCACAGGCTTCGGCCATGCATAATAACCGTAAAGAACTTTCTTACAGGTACGGGAATTTACTTCTAAAGACCGCCTTATTTACTTTCTGCACCAGCATATTATTGATTTATTGTAGCAAATGATTTCTATTATTGCTCGAACATATTAATATTTTTTGTCACTAATAGTATTGATTTATCTTGTTCACCATAATTTGATTATTTAGTACCGGTGAGTTATAATTAAAAATGTTATTGTTTATTGTTTTATATTCTTTCACTGGGGTTGTGTGAGTGTGAATTGGCTGTGGATGATTCTGCAATTTATTTCTGTATTTACTTTACAAAAGAACCCAGTACCGAGTGCCCCTTTGGAGAACCAGTTTATATAAGTACTGAACTTTTTTACAAGCCGTTCAAAGGAATTTGTAAACTATCATATGTATTAAATAAAAAAATGGTGATATTGTTTGATTATCTTGTGTGCTCTATTCGACCTCATTGAAACAATAATCTTTTGAATCAAAATATGAAAAATATATACTATCAACAATTTTGTAGTTCTATATTGTAAATGGTAGATAAAATAATAATTTTGCTAACGACGTCATATTGTATTCCCATATACTATTATATGTCTGTGCTTGCTGAATTACATTGAATTGTTTAATGTGCTATATCGACTCAAAAATGTACATATAAAGGTTCGCTGAAGGTTTGCTTATTCAACATTGCACTAGCCTGGTATTTCTCAAATGCATTTGTAAACACTTGACATATTTGAAAGAATTAGCTGATAAATTGTAAATCAATACCCAGAGCTATACATCGTGTGTAGAGTGTAACATTGTGCTGACTACTGTGGCATTGAAATTATACACAATAATTCGTTAACAAGTTTCAATGTTAATTGTTCTGCTCTTGTGGATTGTTTTGTAAATTGTTGTCCGTAATTTGTTTTATAGTCTATGGTTAGGTATATTTCCAATTTAAACTCGAAAGTGATACATGAATAAATTCGAAAAAAAAATGTATAAGCAGTACTTATCGCATAGTTACTATCGAGTTTGTTTGGAGTCCGGATTATACCTTTTAGTAATTTAACATAGTCTCTTCTAAAGGTGGTCCAGTGGTCAGTGATATAAATGTCCATGTAAATGTTAGTTCTGGTCAATGTTTTAATTATTAAGAATTGTTTACATTACTGAGGGTTATATCGAAGTGTTTTTTAAACTGTACGTTCGTAATGCTAGAGAACATTCTTATTATCATGATTGTGTATTTTTACATAATATGAAATAACTTTGATGAAATACTTTACACAAGATTCGTGACGCTGCTAAACTATTCGTTACAAAAGTATTTTTTTCGTTTTTAGTAAATTACTTCCATGCATATACAGTTTAGTCGTGACAGTTTTTTTTAACCAGATTGGACAATTTGTGTTGTCGTCTATGTTGTGTCATTATGTCCATAAACATAGCTCTCTCTTGTCCATTTCCAAGTGTATTTTTCCTTTAAATCTTCGAAACTCCTGACGGGTACTGTCGGATATTCGCAACAGTGCATTTTACCAATGTCACATATATATCACTTCTTTTAATATAAATTATGGCAATTTTTTTCGTGAGGGAGCCCTCTAGCATTTGTGGGGACTCATGTTTATTTGGAATGCTCTGATTGGATGGAAGTTCGAGCCTAGATTCAAATAAGCATGAACCACTAATTTGACAGGGAGGTGAATCTTATAATGCAGCAAGCTGTTGTAATTGCTGTTGTGATAGAGTTTGTTATATTTCTCTGTCAAATGCATTTATTGGTCCACTGAATAATCTAAATATTACCCTGTAACGTATTGATCAAGCCATTTTTTTTAAATTTAACTGCCCTCAAGTTATAACCCGTGGTCCCCCATAAAATAATGCTTGCATCTAATATTAAAATAAAGATGGTGGACTATAGAGTTGATTCGCCTCGTTGTACTCTGGATTGTTTTGTTTTTTTTGTTTTTGTTTTCATTGTCTTTCACTTTCCCAATATATTTGTTGCTATTCACAACAATTCAGTCCTTTGCAATGCTTCAGTCAATGTTTTTCTTCACTGCCCACCCAGCTCCTCCTCGGGCGCTATGTGGCTGGTGTGGTATATTTAAGGTGGGTTTAACCCACCAAATCAATACAGGCAGTAGGTCAATTGTCACATTTAGAGCTCCAAGAAAATATTCTCAGTCCATGTGTATTTATATAAATAGATGTAGTTTCTTTGGCTTGAATCAAATTCACTGGCTTCGTAGATAGAGGTATACCAGTTTACCTGATTCTAGTTTAAACTTAGCCAATCTTATTACCCAGCCAGAAATTTGCCACATGTCACAACACTCATTTCCACTCATCACCTGAATACCTGAATGACCTGAATATTTGTTGTAGTCATACCCACAGGAGGAACGCACAAATTTTAATGATTTTACAAAGTTTGATTGGGTCAGTTGAATGAGCCTGTTTGTCATTTCACAAGTAGAGGAAACATTAACATCGAACAAGTGGGTCAGTTGGTTCTGAGGTGGGTGATAACTGCTGCAGTGACATTATCGCCGCCACAGGGCACAAATGTGAATTTGGTATCTTAGGTATTGGGATTTCCAAGCACCTTGGAAAAAATTATATAGTTTTTAAATGTCTAATAAAAAGTATAGCATCACTGTCTGTTATTGTCAGAACGACATACTTACAGGTTTAGTAAACTTTAACATCTGAAAAAAGTGAGTCAGTCGGTTCTGAAGCGGGTGGTAAAAGCTGCATTGACATTATCGCTGACACAGGAAACAATGTGAATTTGATACCTTAGGTATTGTGATTTCTAAGACTGTATAGTTATTGAATGTCTAATAAAGAGTATAGCACCACTGACAATGAGCTAGTGATTGCATTCATTGTTGAGCGCCCGCGACGGTGACTATGCGTTAATTAATTTCTTTATCATGATACTGTTGGTGGTTTTACCCACAGCAAAATTACATTTGCTCTGACTACATCCGGGCGAATGTCAATATCTCCCCATGTACTGTTTGTCCCTGATTGTCTTTTTCGATATTCATTATCATAGATGATCGCTGATGAGGCACTACAAATTTGAGCATATTCGCCAATGTTGATAGTGTGGTCGAGGTATGCTAAGTTATCGGCTGTTCAAGAAGTTCGTGTCGTTCCCTGGTGCACCCAACGTTTTTTTAGGTCCTTGCCTTTATTAAGATCTTTATTAGTCACTGATTTTTCCTCTGTTTCAGTTGATGTTGTTTTGGTTACATCGAATATTTCAGGTTTTGATTTTCCCTAAATTAAACTGACCTCACGCATTTCCCGCCAAGCATGTCGCAGAAGACACGGTTGCCCAAGTGGTGATTTCATACCTTTGATGTCCGATATATCCATAGTGGCTATGCTTTCGGAGGATGATGCAATTAAAACAGTAACAGCATCACTGAAGTATACAATGTGACAGCTTCTCCAGGGGCTATACTAAACTATACTGTAAACGTTCACCAACGCGACGCCAACGCGACACCAACTGCAATGTCTGAAATTTCACCTTGTAGCCCTGCTTGAATGGATATAACCTTTCATTACACATCAGTGTAAAATGCCTCCCATCAAGCACACCAAATCACTCTATTTGAAAAAAAAAGAGACGAGAATGAAGGTTTGAATATGTTGAAGCCTCCATGTTTTCAATTTTATTCAGATCTGATAAGTGAGTGAGAATCTAAAACATTAGAAATTCTTACTACAGAACTAATACAAACTCCCGTAATCATAGCATACCTTGAACAAAATGTTACCAGACTTCTGGCATATACGTTTTTATTTTTACCAGCCCTAATGGAAAACTGTTCGTCAAGACATACATGTTCTATGTGGTATAAATAAACTGTGGGATTAATGCGTACTGAGCCTAATTGACTGCGCCTCCAGTTACGCATTGCACACTGTATAATCGGCCAACCCAGCGATTCATCACGGTTACTTTTTTAGTAACAGTGAAAGCATGTGGCACGAGGCGTGTTTATGCTCATTTGCATATCATGTCCAGAAGAGCGCCACCAAGCAATAAACTGAATGGTAGTGAATATTTAACATATTTTAGATTTAACTGCCATATTGTAAATTTAAATGCTAACAGTTTAAATTTAAATAATCGTATTTTAACATACATTTTTTTTAATTTTTTTAATTGAAACACTCATATTTTAAATTTAAATGTTCATATTTTAATGTCTTGAGAGTTTAATTATAGCCCTAATGACACATCATAGTCGTCCACATCGGACGACAAAATTTCATTCCAAAATATTCAGTTTGAAATAAGACAATGATTTGTTGTATTCTACCATGATTTGAATTCAAATATTACTCGAGTTGATAATTTGTACGTAATGATTAACCGATAAAGATATCAAATAATTGCATTAAAGGTCGATTTCAATCAACATGAAAGAGGGATATGTATACGTGTATGGTACCAATCGGTTTTACATATTCTTATTCAGTAATCCAACTCCGACAAGACGAGGTTTGAGGAACGACCTAAATAAAAAAAAACAGCAAACAACATGACTGACTGAAATTCTGCATAATTATTAGCAATACACACCAGTTATATATTAGTTACATGCTACACTGTTTAATAGCGAATGAACACTATAATATGAAATTATTTTGTATTAACACATGCACAGTGTAGAGTGGATAATTTGTTTCCAGTCAAATAAATATCTAAAGAATATACAAACTCATTATATAAAATATGTCGGAGGTTGCCCTAAAATAGTAAAAGTTATTAATTCTATAATAAACAGTTATCAAATTGTTCGCTGATGATATTTAGAATAGTGCGCTCAACATCATAGTTCACTTTCGATTGAAGTTCAATACACAAATTAGTCCATGCATATACCAACAACGACAGGAAGACTAAAATGAATAAGAAGGAATATATGTGGATACAATGTGCATATATCGGTAAGAAGTATTCGTAACTCACCATACAGACTGTGTTGCCATGTAAAGACAACTCGGTGTTGTGAAACCATTAAATCTGCAAGCACCAGCCATTGTATATCCACCAAAATCTGAAAATCAAATCAATTAAACGCTATATGGGTGAAATTAAATAATAAATGCTGAAAAACAATTAACGTGACTGTGTTTTATGAAGGGAATACATCATAAGTTGAATATTTGCCTTATGTTGAACATTTGTCAATGACGCGCTCTTATAAGGCACAAGTTATATATAATCGCCAGATAGTATGTAATTCGTCTTGATGAACTAAATCCGGGTGTGAGTCAAAGAAACACGTCTCATACAAGCTTCAGTGATCCAGTTTCAGACAATATGTAATCCTCCAATGCTCTATCCACAAACACAAATTAAAGGCAAACTGAGTTGTTGTGTTATACCTATGTCCGCTCAACAACATGATAAATATGAGGTATATCATCTAAGTATTAATAAATGTACATATAATACACAACTGAATTACCTTCAAAGATAATCTAGTCCCATACGTCTATTTCTGGTAACAAGCAGCGGGGGACAATCATGTCTTTGCTGTCACAGGTGTGTCCCCAAATACGTGAGGAAAACATTTTGTATAAACAGGTTTGTATGAAGGCATGTCCTGAAGTTATTAAAAAAAACAAAAAAAAAACTACCTTTACATTTCTCCAACGTAATTCATGTTCTATTCCTCCTCGGAATAGTTAAATTTATAATAATTCAAGAAAACGAACAGTGTATTTGATAATGTAAGCAATCAGACCGTCCTCCACCATTTCCGACTTTACTATAAACAAATATGGACAATCCGAATTTTGTAAAAGACTGCACTGCAATATTTCTAATGCTTGACAATTTTTCCGTTCACAAGTATTTTATCAGTTTTAATGGGTCTATTGTAATTTATATTTTATAATCCCGTCAAACTTACAGTCGCAATTATGAAAAAATAGCACTATTAAGTGCTTGTTGTAATAGGTGTGAGCTGGTGTATGACTTTATCAGCTTTATGCCAACGGCGCAGTTTTTAATGTATTCATTAGCACCCCTTCAAACTCCGTGTTATTTAGCAGAGGAGTTAGTTGTATATTAAACTAAATCCGTCCTCGTTGCAATATGAGTTATAGCCTACTCTGTCCGAGGATTTGTTTTGTATGATTTTTACTATTGAATTCGATTGCCATCAATTTACACAACTTCCGCTTGCGTTTAACCTCTGAATAATCAATGTGAAAAGACATCTGCAAAATCAGTAAATTGTAAATGTTCGTATTCTAAAGTAACACAAATAATCATCAACCGGGCCCAGCAAATTTCTGCTGGCATAATATGCAATATAATAAGCAATATGAACTTTTGTAAAAAGTAACACTGTATACACACAAGTTTAGTTCTCACATTATGTACTATGTGCACAACCATTGAATATCTCACCTTCAATAATATTGGAACAATGTTGGACTGGTCGCTTTGCAATAATCCAAATGATAGGTATCTACTTTCGTTGCAATAATACATATGGCTCACTTCCATGCAATCCGTGTTTTATTTTAATGTACTAGCAAAAACAATAGAATATAAAGTCGAAAAAAACAACTTTCGGTTTACTTTGAAGTTTTATTCCAATAAGGGTAATATTTTAGAGGAGAAACGTGACAATCAATGTTATTTTTTATTACATTGTTGAAAATACAGTTTCTGGACTGTAAAAAATGTGTAAAATAAAACAATTGTTTGCGTTGTATTCCGGGCAATTTTGACACTTCAAATCCCAAAAAGTAAAGTTCCTCTCTAACTAACCATCATGTCAGGTTTTGTGTATTTTGTTATATGATAAGTTTATATCATGCGCGAAGATTGTCAACCGATAATGCAACCTAACTTATATTGTATTCAAATTCAAAAAAAATAAGTACTAAGTAATTGGAGGGCATGAAGTTCATATTATGTGTATAATTACCTTCACCAACTGATTTCATGTCAATTTCTTTAACACGCTTGCCAATTACATTCACACATAAAGTACAGGTACTCCATGCGAAATAAAGGCCTGGTTCACTGATAACTGTAACTCCACATCCATCTGGAAAGTGTTCACTTAGTGCTTGATTGATTTTCTCTGCTATCTGTAAGCAATTAAAATTGTATCACGCAATCAATACCATTAGTAATCAAGCTGCCATTTAACGCGTGGGAATAAACTTGGCATTTAAACCTAAATCAAGTCTTTCAGATAGCAGAGTAAGAAACATATCAAGTTATCACACAGGTTGTTATAATGATAACAATAATAGCAGTGGAGAGCGTATTTTCCCTATCATTCAGTTTGTGAAAAAAAATCAACAATTCAACAATTCATTAACAAATACAATAACAATTTTTTTGATGTGAAAAGTGTAGAAAAAGTGTAGAAAAGGTATCTCTGTTAACAACATTATTGTTGACCCAGATTAATGCATGTTACTATTTAAAATGTCTCCTGTGATGATGTACACTTACTACTAATTAATACTATAAACAAGTTAGAGTTAATGATACAGTTATACAAATATTAAGCCAGTTACACTACCCGCCTCACTAGTCTCAATGGTATGTTCAACAACAAAATTGCAGCGAATATCACCACCAAATGTGACTTCATATGAATTTCCTACAAGGATATTCTTATATCTTGTGATTACTCTATACTGTAAACAAAAATATCCAACGGCATTGACTGTTAATAAAACAGCTTCTGATACAGTATTGTACAGAAAACAATACGTGAAAAGAGTTTTTCATCATGCCTAAATATAAAAATACAAACAGCAATACCTCGATGTATATATATTCATACTGAAACCAATTAACAAGAGGAATTTCTTATATTATTATATATCATTAATGGGACAAATTCAAATATTGTATATCTCTACATCGACAATCATGGACAATTGAAATCTACATTTGTCATGTCAATTACAAGCAGACTAATTACAGAACTCATTGTCGGTGTTATGTCACATGAACATCGTAAAAGGTATATGACATCCAACATAATGTCTATATTTATATTTATACTTCTTCCAATGTACCCGACAATTCAAAAAGTTTCAACAATTCACCGAGTAATGTTTACAGCAACTAATTCAAAATGGCCATTTGGATATCGTATTTAACCTTCACAAAAACAAACATAATCGTAAAGTTATTTACACTTTGAATCGTAATAGGCTTCTTTCCATCACCAGGATACCCTCCACCAATATCGAGCAGGGTCAAGTTGAATCCAATATCGGCAGCATAGTTGAACACCAATCGTGATAAACCAATAGCCGTTGCATAGGCTGTAGCATCTCGGCATGAACTACCAACATGAAAACTGAAATTGAAGATTTACTGGGTTGAATATACTAGTGGTCATCCGTTATCCAAGAAAAAGTACAACAATATGGCAATTGACCATGAAAAGCTTAGTTTTTCATTTCTCGACCAATAGCAGACATTGCACACGTGATACCCATTACCCGATCTTTACTATTACATATAAAATAGATCCCGGCTCCGGTTAACATATTGCAGTGGTTATTATTATTATCAAAAGTCGGTTTCATAAATATATACCACACAGTAATGAATGTCATTGTGTTGCCATCACTAGGACAATTCAACTAAACAATTACAAGAAATTACAGACAATGGCGTATATACTGAAACAACAAACAAGCAACTACATACTTAATGATGATGATGCCAGAGGTACAATTGAGCAATATTTCAGTGCAACAACCTGAATAGATTTCATTGACTTATAGAGCTACATTTTTTTTAATATTTGAAACATATACATACATATAAATCTTTACTGATGCACATTTCCGTGAGTAGAATTATAATGTAAAATGTCCCCTTTGCCTCAGCGAGGCTGTGAGCAACGTTATTGTATATAAATTACCTGACGCCAACAACGTTGAGACTGAGCTGTTTCGCTTCTTGCAAAAGATGTCTTGTATGTTTTACATCACATCCGAATTTTATTCCAAAACTTGCCAATGCGCTGGGATCGTCAGTGTTAATTCGTATAACCAATCTACAAAACAAAAACAAAACAAAGACAGTATTATATAAACTTTTGTCGAAGCTATAATATATATAAAGAAACGAATACACTTACTCCGCATCTGGGTATACTTCTGTGATTTTGTGGAGTTCATACTCGTCATCAAATGTCATCAATCCTGCTTTTTTATCGGCAGCAAATTGTAAATGCGTTTTGGATTTGCAAGGGTTGGCATAAATGATGCGCGATGCTGGAACACCAATATTTAGTACATCTTCAATTTCTGACTGAATCGAAGACAGAATTAAACAAATTAATCAAATTGACACGTGTTGCAAAATGATATATTAAAGTCTTAATGGCAATATAGAAATCTGAATTATCGCTTACGACAAACCCAAAATTTCCAATTCAAGTAAAATTATTTCAATCACATGACATATTTGATGGCCCGACAGTGACAAATAAGTGATGGAGTAAGTCATGTTTGAATTGAACTACACTTCACAATGTTAAATTCATTTTATCGGTACATCTGCGTTTAATATTTAATGTCATCGCAGATAGATACATAACAATGTGATGCTTTTTATAGCGAATGTGTACACATTTGTTCATGTTATTTTATTTAACTAGTGTTCTACGTTTCTAGTTTTGTTAAAGAATAGATTACTACGCGTGTGAATATTATATTATAAGGTAACTAATTTGATATCCCATGGATCATATTTATTATTTTTGCATCTTTTAAACATAACCATTTAACGTTTGCATAAAATGATCACCGTTAACAACTTCCACAGCCATGTTACTCCGCTCGAATGAGAAATGTGTTTTATTATTGAATCATCGTTCGATTTAATATCATGACGATGGTAAACAAGGTTACTAAATATAAAAACAATTCAATTATTTGGTAGATTTTACA